GATGACGACGACGAAAACGACAACGACAACGATAAAATGAAGTTGATGTATTTTGTTTTTTAAATATTTGACAGCCATACTAGTGGGAGCTGTTCTTACAGCACCATTCTTTCATTTAGAAACATTGACAAAAGCAGATAGTTTTCATGCTTATGTTGGGGACGTATCTGTTGACAGAAAGTTTTATATATCTGAGTGTCTGTCTCAAGTGTGTGTACACGGTTCTTAAGAATTACGGTTCTGAATAGCGCTGTGAGAGGTCGAACTCCACATTCTCACCGTCTCTAGTGATAAAGGGATCGATTGGGAATTGAAGAAAACCGATCATATGATAAGACAGGCAATGGTTCACCCTGAAACAAGGCAAGGTGTATTGGCTAGGTCTGAGTTCAGGGGATACACAGGACACGGTATTGGAGTCATACGTATCAATCCTACAGGTATACACTTTGCCTGGCATTTTATTAATGTCTATATTTCGAACCTCTTTCACTTCCTATACGGCTTTATTTCTGCCTGCTTCCAAATATGTCAATTTGTCTTACGATTTTGAAGAAACACATAGTCTCTATAAAATATTAGTGTACTAAAAGGTAGAAATAGAAATATTGTATTGAGCTTTGTTGACATTCGTCGTTAAGTGTTATTGTTGATAATGACATTGTAAACACCATTCTCTCCCCTTTGTTGACATTCGTCGATAGGTGTCATGGTTGATAATGACATTGTAAACACCATTCTCTCCCATTTGGTGCTGCATTGTTTTAAAAAAGAACATGTTTGGTAGTATGTTATTTTGGTAACTTACTAATCGTTCGAGATATTCTAAAGCCACATTGAGAAATGAACTTCAATCTTAAAGGGACACTGTTGAAAAATGGATTAAACATTTGATGATCAATACACAAAGCGCTTTACACCGTTTGTAAGTAGACATTATAACCCGGTATTCAAACTATGTCATACTATACGGTATCATACGACTGATATACGGGCTGGCTGTGTGGTGACAATAGGTTGTAAAATCGCCATTGTATGTGGTTATATTTACACTAGTTAATAATCAATTGGGGAAAACCGATACAAACAATAGATTATCCTTTTCTAAATAACACTGATTGTGTGAATCACTACAACAGTGAGATGTCTGATCACATACCGGTAGAACAGTGGTGAACCGTGCTTAGCGCTAAGGACTCTTGCTGATAAAGTAACAACCTATATTTTACATTCCATATTTAGCGTTATTAGTATAAGAACAATAGAAACCTCCTTAAGGACAACTAGTCTTTACTGCTTGCATATTACCTGGTTTCCCATAAAGATGCTAAAGACTATTTCATGAGAACTGATTTTTTTTAATCGTAGGATTATTATAGAATTATATTGTATTTTGCATCCTATCTCTCCTATTGGTTAATGACTTATCTTTTAAAAAGAATGAAGAATGATGACATTTTTAAATTGATAGTGTCATATTCATCTGTTCGTTTATTTGTTACAAAAACGTAAAATACTTATATTTTTTTGTAGCACAAATATAAAGTTTAGGATATGAGGAACAGGTTGGAAATGTTAATTCAGTCCAATATGAAATCGTTTACGAAATAAATGTTTACTATTACAGAAATGTTCAGCGCTAAAAGCTTATTGGATATTTTATTATGTGTGCTCAGGTATTCACGTATATTGTTAAATACAGTGTGACTATCGCTATGAGAAACTAATGGAGTATGCAGGCTAGCTTTATATGTTGGTTCTCTATCGATCTAGTCTTAGTACCTACTACATTTGACCTAGTAAGCACTGACGGCATAATTCACGGAGTGACTTACAATAATATAATATAACATATGAGGTACATCCCTAATACGTCTCACTGGACGAATTAAGGTCAATCATCTTTAATAAAAACTAATCTTCTTGCCTCCTTTTAAATCACCGTGTTGTTAATCGATGTCCACGTTGAAAAGGTATGACTTCCATACCTTGATGGACTGGACAAGTGACGTCATGACGGGTGCCACACGGAGCACAGTGTGGGCCCATGACGTCATGACGGGTGCCACACGGAGCGCAGTGTGGGCCCATGACGTCATGACGGGTGCCACACGGAGCGCAGTGTGGGCCCATGACGTCGTTTCTGTACATCTTGTGCCTTTCAGGTTTCCGTTGTATCAAAGTTTGCATTGTGTTGATATTGTAGTATATTTGTATATCCGTTTTAAAGGCACACTATACCGGTGCAATTCCTGTTTTTGGAAGAGTATTAACACTCAAAGTCAGCTCTGGTTTTCTGTTTAGAAAATTTCATTGTTTATAATTTATATATAGAAAACAACTGCGTATATAATTATGTTCATTTCAAATTTTGAAATTAAGCAAAATATTCAAAAGCTTTAAATGTTAAAAGCATAATGCATTAGTATAGGATAGGGAGAAAGACATATTGTTTTGGTTGTTTATAAATGATATAGCTCTGGTAGCGTATAGACATCTCACCCTTTTACATGTATTTGAACCAATGTTGTGGACACCTTAGACATAGGTTTTCATTATTTTGATCTTTCGTAACCCTGATACGTCATCAATGGACACAATTCAATATGGTCACAGTAAATATCTTATCAGTAAACGTTTTATATAGGTGTTTTCTGACTTCCTATTCTAGTAGTTGTTTATGGCTTCGCTCGACAATCTCTGCTGCTATTAACGCTTTTCAACGACGGTAATGGTGACTAAGTGTATATAGAAACTGATGGTAACAGGGATTTAAAACGCTTATTTTTCAGCATATCAAAGCGGCCATATCTCTGCTTTCGTATGCAAAATGTGACTCGTATATAAAACCTTGACTTAGTAATCCGTTTTCTTGCGATTGAAATCACACATGTGTTTGCATTCAAGAAACAAGTCTAACGCCATATTCTTAGGCATGTATACCCATAGCGTGTAACAGGGTAACTTTTTGATAGATTTTCTAAGTCTCCTCTCTAATCCCAATCACATCACGATTCACCAAAGACGTCAAACACGATTACTTTGTAATTAGTAGTTTTGAAATTGACTTCCAATGAACGTATAACGGTTACGTGTGAGAATATTGTTCCCAGTGAGGTCAAACGAAAGGACACAAAACCCAGGCCCGGGATCTTATTGATACATATACTCTACTACTCCCACACAATAACATACACCCCATGATGTCAGGGTCCCGTCAACGACCTGAAATAACAGTATAATCCGTACACATAATAATCGGCCAGACGGAAAATGTCGCCACCAAACATGTAAAAGCCCACTTCGTCTTTCTTTACGTAAAAGCATGAAAATAATATAGCAATATGTACTTTTATATCCCCTTTCACCAAGAACGTGTTACCATATTAATGTTAAATATTCGGTGTCTCAGATTATAATCTTAGAGCAAACTGATCTTTTGCAGCTAGAATCATTTTACGCACAAAGAGCTAAGTTAAATAACAGAATAATACAATTTACCAAATAAATTGAACGCATGCAAATAATGATAAATATTGACATTTGGAATCAAACCTGTATACTATATCGGGAAGGCGTCGAGTCATGTATATCCCTGAACATGACTGTGTGTCTGGGTGTGTTTAGTACTGAACACATCTTACAAAGTTAAGGTTACAAAGTTTTGTGTCACCTTTTTTAACAAATGGTCAGATGGTCTGATCATCACGAAAACTTACTTCAACGGTTTGCAATGTATGTCCAAATAATCAGCTAAGGAGCCGTATTTACCTTAATAATTATGTATTAAACATCAACATGTAATAATAACATAAACTGACGGAAGGGTGCTCAGCATCCTTATACAATTCATTGCTGTGTTTACTTCAAACTGCATACTGTAATTACTTTATTTTTCGCAAGATACATTTCTCGAGGAAACACTCGCGAGTTTAGATCTTCCATGCATTAATGCCATGGACAATTCCCTGTTTTTAATCATCCTCTAAGTCATGAGTTCAAGTATTCATGAAAGAAACTTACAGGTACAGTTTGCGAAATGAAGTATACGAAATATAGAGCGATTTATGATATATAGATGCTTCTGAGTATAATACAGAAAACACATATACAATGTCAGTGTTTATTATAACAGACATATATGTAAGGTGTTACTTTCCATACTGCATAGCACATACATACTGTGTTTATTATAACAGACATATATATAAGGTGTTACTTTCCATACTGCATAGCACATACATACTGTGTTTACTATAACAGACATAAATATAAGGTGTTACTTTCCATACTGCATCGCACATACAGACTGTGTTTATATAATTTGAATTTATAGAATAGGTAAAAAACATTTGTAAATAATATGGAGACTATATTTGATGACGAGCTGTTTGGATTGTGGGTTAGGGTGTGGATGGGACAGCGGGTATAAACATCTGTGTAAAAAATATAATTTATCTTTATTGCGATGACCTTTAAAGTCTAAATTTGAATGGGTTTTATCGAAAATGGCCAACGGGAGAGATAAGATAAGACACCTGATACTGGTCAGTTGGTAGTCAATGTACATAAGGTGGGGAATAGAAGTGGTCAGAACGTGTATTACTAGGTTAAAGTATAGATACTAGGGCTAGTAACCCGTATTACATCGACTAACAGCCTGGTGGTGGTAAGCTCGAGGAGTGGACATCCATAACTTTAGTGTACACTCTGATCTTTTAGTGATAAGATTGAATTTCACATTGAAGTAGGTGACCATTGATTGATATTGCCAAGAGGGTCACTTGGAGAAACTCGTGTGACATACTAGCTTGGGCTACATTTAAATGGACAGACTTAAAGGAATAAATGTGACTATTTTCTCTGAAACAAATAAAAGTTGAAATAAAATATTCCACCTACACATCTTAACATTTTGTATATCAAACAGTAAATATAAAAAATACATATAGGACAATGTTAGATTTAGCACACGTATACCAAGAGGGGGGGGGGGTTACCTTTGGGTTAGTAGAAGACCCTTTCCAGCTGGGCGGTACGTCCGGGATAGGAGGAGCAGATTTACTCAGCACGGGTAAGTCTTTGGATGGTAGAAGCTGCTGACTCATGGATGTATAAGGACTGTCAGTGGTAATGCTCTTAAGAGGCGTGATACTGGCCCCGTACATAGTCCGTGACGACCCCGTGGTAAAGCTGGGACAATCACTGTTCATAGACATGGGAGACAGACCTTTGACAGCCCTCCGTCTGAAGCTCATTAACCTCGGGCTGTCTTTGAGAGGAGCTGGCTGACCATAACTCAGTTTCTGTTTCTGAGCATTGTGTGCAGCAAGTGCAGCCCTAATGTCCTTTTTGTCGTACGTCATTTCGACACCCGACTCTATCGGTGATGGCCGTAGTACCTCCATTACTGACACTGCGATCTCGGGTCATATACTCAAAGGACAGGTAACACTCCTCAACAGATGTCCGTTGTGATGTAATAAAAGTTGCCTAACTTGATTTTTTTTTTAATATTCCCAAGACGTGATCTTGTGATTTTCACATGTGTTGCTCGTTATAACACAATCAGCACTTATGTCATCGTGCTGTTAGTACGCCGTCAGCGGCGGTTTCACACTTTTGATTTTAGACTTTGTTTTTCAGCCTTATCCACCTTAAAACTAGTCACAAGAAGGCAATTCTGTGACACTTTTATGTCATATTTCTTACATTCCGTACGGCTACGAATTTCACCAATATAACAGCTGATTGAACATATCCATCGGCATCTCTTCCCCTTCACCTGTACAGGTAAATCAATTCATGCCTGATTTAAACCATGTAGATATCCACAGCCCTTACCGTATATTGTCATAAGGAATTTTCTCTCCTTATGTAAAGGTCTGACCTATAGAATAGCTAGTATTCGGGTATATGTTTTATCATAGTAGGTTATGCGATAATCCGATTTTTCGTTGGCAAGCACGCTTACCCTTTTACGCATGCGCTTTAGTGTGGATCGAAGGTGTCCTAGGACTTACAGATGGGCTTCTACCGTGCGGATATTGGTAGGGATTAATTTTATTGATCTGCAGTAAAATCCGATACAAAAAAGCTATAACTTCTGTCGGTCTTCCATTTTGCGCCTTAAATATCACATTTTGTCATGTAAGTGGGATTTTCAATAGTATTGGAATATTTTGCATTAGAATAGAAATTAAAGTTATATTGAATGCTTTCTGAATTGATCTTCGATTATACTACAGCGAGAAATATCCTGGGATGCATTGGTGACAGGTATTAGATTTAAGCGGTTTGTGGCTGACTATTTGTAACTTAGAGAGACATTAAATCACTGTTTATGGCCATACAACAAAGACTAACAATGTTTAGCCCCAAAACTACCATACCGTAGGAGATGATCGGGTGAGGACATAATCTGACAGTGTTACGGTTGTCCTGTAGTCCACAAGTATACCAGTATCTCCAACCTTTAAAGCTATTCTGGAAATATCTGCATTCTTTTTGTTTCGCGAATTTTTGAAGCTTTGGATTTTTTATTAAACTGTGAACATTTGTGAAGAAATATGATATTTGTTTTAAGATGCGATATCATATAGCCTTTGTTGCTAACAACAGCTAAATTTAGTGAACTTCCATGGGGAGTTTCTACTAATGTTGTAAACAATTATCGTGTTGTGGTTATCACCTTGATCATTTTAAAAGAGATGATTGTAATTGTTTCAATTAAGGGCCTTGTAATCCTGATAACTCACTCGATCATTATTACAACGATAGCCAGATCGATTTTACACATCATGTAGATTTTATTTTGTATCCATTTTGAGCATCACCCATTTAATGTTTTTCTCTTTTAGAACCTTTGGCTTCTCTACTTTTAACACTATCGTACAACCTACCAAACTGAGAGAACGACGTAATCCTCTTATTATGAGAGCTTTATTTTCATTTTCGGAGAAAGGAAAATTGCGTAATATGTACATGAGTATGGTAATAAGCTTGTTAAGGCGATCGTATGTGGGAATCACGACAAAGGCAAAAATAAAATGTATTGAGGATGAAATCGTGAGAATAAATTGTGAGTTCAGTGCCAGGATTTTTGCAGCAGGCTGTTGGCATTCCTATTAGAACACAGTGTGTCACTCTTCTAGACAACTTTTTATTTTTTTCAAATGAGGCTAAAATTTACCAAAAAACCTTATCATGGCTGGTAACAAAAGCCTTGCCAAGTCAATCATTGTTACTTTAAGATCTATCTACGATGCGCTATCTTTAAATCACGTAGAATTTACAACTTGACATAAGCTGTACGATAAGCCATTTTTTACTATCCGACAGTGAACTCTCCCTTTCTTTATAAATCATCACAAACCTATGTTTTTGAGCATGTCTGTTACTGTGCTTTGTGTTTCGTTATCACTACCTCACGTTATGAGGACGACCTAGACAGTTTACCTAGATTTTACATGGATGTTGCGTCAAAGCAGAAGACGCCTAGGTTTATAGAACACAAGGTCTGATTTTCCTGGTACTGTTTCAATGATCTCCATTTAAATGTTTTCCCTTCGTTAACATCTTGCCCTAGATTTATCGATTTTGAGTTTGAAATACGGTGTTGTTAATACTTCGGTATTGTTTTCTTTTTTAATGGGAAATAAAATATCTAATGCTGGCTTAATTGCACCAGGTGCGTCAATTAAAATACAGTACCTTTTATCGCTTAGATTACTTTGAGAATGTCTTCGATATTACTATCTTAATCACCCACGGCATGTCATGTAGGATAAAATACCTACTACTGCTTTATCTACGGTAAACTTACATAAACCAGTGCACATATATCCTCAATTAGATCTTACATGTATAGTAAACTATCCGTACACACCCACTTGAAAAACTTTGATGCTCATTCATAAAAAAAAAATTGTGAGACATTATATCAGTTAAAATGACTATTTTCCTTTTTATGTTTCTTTAACCATTCATACAAGATTCAAACATAAAATAATTGAAATGTCTTTAAAATACATATGATGCATTACTATTTACCTATAAGTAATATTAGTATCCATAAAGGCCCTCCAGCATATTGGCCAGTACAGTAACTCCATAATTTCATGTGGTACAACTGGGCAAGTCACGTAGAATATGATACCTAGTGCTGAATTAATTACACTATCCATGTCAGGGTGAACATACTACATTCTACTGCCGTAATTATCTGAGGCATGGTGTATTACTATCTTGATAACCCTGTTCATACGAGGTAAGCGACCGCCGTTTTATAATTTAGTTTGCCGATACAGATTGCCAATCAAAGTCTTCATTAAACAGTACAACTAGGACATTATTAGCTCGTCCCATACACTATCGTAACTCAACAAAGATGATATGCGATTAACATAGATATGTCGCTTAGGGTGATGATGTCTGAAGTCCTAAGGATTCTTAGAAATCCTTTTATACCGGATAGTGATAATGGCCGTGGTCCTCGCGCAGGTGCTGGTGGAGCCGATTATGATAGAGGTAGAGGTAGAGGTGTTCATACAGGTGCTGATGGGTGGTTCGGATTGTGGTAGAGGTGGTGGGAAGGAGATGATAATACTCGGAAATGTTAACTTTAGGTAGATAGACAGAGCTACGCGAATTATAAGTATAGTACATCACGAAAAATGCTAAAGGGAAATAACTCATTGTGAAAAACGCACATGTAATTTGAAACATGATATCTTATGTTATGAAGTTCGTTACAGGATATAACTGTTATGAGGCTTGGTGACTCATACCAATTACCTGGATTGCTATCAGTAAGAGCTTTATTTTCCAAGAAAGGCGAACGACAATTTAGATGAATGGCTGTAATTGTTTAGAAGCATATTTTACGAAAAACACAACAAAGGCAAAACAAAATATATTGAGGAAAGTTGATGAAAATGTGAGAATGGTTGAGATCTCTGTTGACAATATCTTTGTTGAGTTCGGTGGCAATATTTTCCAGCAGACTGTGGCCTTCTTATGGCAACAAACTGATCTTCTTTTGTTTTAATATGAAGCTAAATTTATTGATGAGCGTAGTAGGACTAGTAACAAAAAACCTTGCAAAGTTTTTTAATTTCAAATTCAGATATATGGAAGATTTACTGTCTTTGAATAACAATAAATTGACTTATCATATCGATCGTATATACCCTTCGGACACTTCAGACTATACTCCATCTGTTTTCCTTGATATTTTTACTTACAACATATCAGTAAGGATGGCTTACTTGATAGTAATCTCCACGTTTTTCCTACCTACGGTGTGTACGTGTCGCAGGTTTTTTTCGGTAGGAAGGAGCTGACTCGGAATAGCTCGACTTCCGTGATAGGTACACACTGCTGCTCGACAAACTTTCAACACCAGGTTCTATAGACACAGATTGAAGATGTTTATGGTCGACGTCATTATCTCGTAGGGAAATACGCTATTTCTTTGTGTGTTGTGGGTGCCGTCATTATCTCGTATGGAAATACGCTATTTCTTTGTGTGTTGTGNTGGTCGCCGTCATTATCTCGTAGGGAAATACGCTATTTCTTTGTGTGTTATGGTCGCCGTCATTATCTCGTAGGGAAATACGCTATTTCTTTGTGTGTAATGGTCGCCGTCATTATTTCGTAGGGAAATACG